TGAAATCTCTGTTTTAAAAGTAGCGTGACGTACGATATCTCATAGAAGTTATGTGTGTGTTTTACCTAATTGTGCTCATGGGGAAGAGCCCTCTGGTCGTAACTCCTCGTTTTCTGGTCGATTTGATTCTTCGCAAGAAGGCGACTGTCCTAGCCCTTGGTAGAAAAGGGAGTCCGTGACGTAAAACCGGAACAAGAACACTTTATCATGAATGTATAAACTAGACTAGCATAATGCCTTTCCATCAGCTCTGCACCAGATGTTAATATACACGAGAAATAAATGGAAAAAAAAAATCCTCTATCCCTTATTATCATGTTTTATGTTTTCTCCACCATCTCCAGACCCATGTAGGGGGGGATGTTGTATATATTGCACTGACATATTGCTGATACATAAGGGCATTGATTACGTTTTCAGTCGACAGGTGTTATTATTATTATTATTATTATTATTATTATTATTATTATTATTATTATTATTATTATTATTATTATTATTGTCATCTACTTATCATTGATAATGCATTAATTAAAAGTCATATGACATGTTTTTTTTCTATTATTATTATTATTATTATTATTATTATTGATTATTATTATTATTATTATTATTATTATTATTATTATTATTATTATTATTATTATTATTTCTAGTTTTTCCTATAAGGAAATGTGAAATATTAATATTCATACTAGGTAATCTGTTCGGGGACTGGACATGACTATATAGAGTTCATATGTATTAATCTCTCTCTGTACATATATACATGAAATCAGACATTAAAAAAAAAAGATATGTTACGTATGTGTAGATTATGTATGTCCATATTCATATGTAACATATATTTTTTTAATGCCTGATTTCATGTATATATGTATAAAGGGATTAATATATAGGAATTCCATATAGCCATTTCCAGTAGATTACTGAATATGAATGTTAACAAATATTAGCATTAATGCGTATATGGGGACCGCGGTAGGGCAGTGGTTAGAGCGCACGACTTGGGAAGTGACACACAAGCGATCGAGCCTGCCAAGGGGCGTTTGGAAGAGCATCTATCCTTTATTCCCCAGCTCCAACTCGTCTGTGTTTGCCCCAATAATGGTGAATAATAGGGTCACAAATGGCAAACAACGTGAATATATTGACCGTATTTTTCTTGTGTATTGATCCTTAACACTTGCGAAAAAAAAAAATTGACATGAGAGATCCATTATGGGCTCGTCAAGAGACTGTTCCACCATTACTCCAAGCATCTAATGATCTGTTTTTCGTCTTTTTCCGTCGAAGTGATTCTGATGAAGAAACCATATACGAACCACTTTTGATTGTCGTATTCTTGATTTTTTTATTATTTTTTTTTTTACAGCTTGTGTTTATTTATGAATGAAGAAAAAACAGTAGACACCCGAAAGATACTACGCTATCAATAACCTCATCTGTCAAATGATGTACTTAGTGGGGCTGCTGAGTGGTGAGTGGTTACCATTTAAAGGACGTCAGTTCATTTTTGGATATAATATACATTTTTATGACGTTTCCGACGAAGAGAAATTTTTTGAACCCGTAGGACGTTAGATATTGGACTAAGTTTAGAAACTATTTCACCATTGCTCCGCACATCTTGTAGTCATTTGAAAAGGCGGGAAACCTGTGCTCTCTACATTTTATTTCCAGATATCTGGCGTAGAGAACCTGTACGTGCCTCCTCTCGGGAAGTTGTAACTCGGAACCTCCTTGGTGGCTAAGCGGGTTATGTTGGTGTATATATATATATATATATATATATATATATATATATATATATATATATATATATATATGTGTGTGTGTGTGTGTGTGTGTGTGTGTGTGTGTGTGTGTGTGTGTGTGTGTGTGTGTGTGTGTGTGTGTGTGTGTGTGTGTGTGTGTGTGTGTGTGTGTGTGATTACCTAATTGTGTTTACGGGGAAGTGCCCAAAGCTCGTATCTTCCCGTCTCCTGATCGGTTCCATTTTAGACTTAGTCATACTTATCATACCTGTCCTTAAAACTATGGATTGAGATAGCATTAACTACCTCCTCGCTTAGCCAATTCCAATTATCAACTACTCTTACACTGAAAAAGTATTTCCTTACATCCTGCAAAGAAGTTTTCTTACCAAGCTTCAAACTATGACCTCTAGTTCTAGAGCCAGTCATATCAAAATATCGATCCCTATCCACTCTATCATAACCATGTGTGTGTGTGTGTGTGTGTGTGTGTGTGTGTGTGTGTGTGTGTGTGTGTGTGGCGTGCGTATATGTATGTATGTACATACACACCTGTATGTATGTATACATGTAGGTATGTATTATATACGTATGACTAAAGATGCAATAAAATTAATTTGTTTTTATTCTCTTTACAGGTGAGTGGCACTCAGTGGGTAACTTTGACAACAGTCTCTTGGCAAGTACAGATTTAAGGCCTTTATTAGGTACTCCTTTGAAGAGTTTATTTAAAGGCTACTTCCACTTTTATTGTTATACATTATATTAAATTATATATTAGAGAACGTTATTTACCATAATTGGTACGTTAACGGCTGTTTCTCGGCAAGTAGAGATTTAAGCCTTTTATAAGTGCCACTTTTTAATCTTAATAGTAGTCACCGTGGCTCGAGCGGTAGCGTCCGCGACTTTGAGGCGTCAGGTCAAGGGTTCGCGCCCCGTCACGGTCTGAGGTTAGCAAGGGCATGCACTCAGGGTAAGGATTACATCTGCCAAAACAAGTCCTTCGCAAGAGGGCACCGTCCTAGCCCTTGGTAGAAAAGGGACTCCGTGACGTAAAACCGGAACAAACATTTTAATCTTAATGTAGGATACTTAACATGTTTTTCATTCTAGAGAGTGGCACTGTGCTGCATTTTGAGTTAGAGCCAAAATAATATCAGTTTGGCTCCCGTATTCCGCTTCATAATGTTTATATTAGGTTAGTTTTAGTTAGGTTAGTGTTAAGTTTTACCAATCCATTCTCGTCCACTTGAAGTGTCTGATTTTCTTAAGCTCTGTACCCAACTAAAGTTTGTTGTGATTTCAAATATAAAGAAATATATCATCCAAATTATGTAACAATGCCCTCATATGAAATCGAGGGTTCGCGCCCCATCACGGTCTGAGGTTAGCAAGGGCATGCACTCAGGGTAACGATTACATCTGCCAAAACAAGTCCTTCGCAAGAAGGCAACCGTCTTAGCCCTTGCTTGAAAAGGGAGTCCCTAACGTAAAACCGGAACAACAAGCCCTCATATGAAATGGCGCCCTGACTAAAGCCGATTTTAGTTTATTCAAGATTATATATCGTATGTTTATTGAAGTTTCAGTAAATTTGGCTTGAATATATACAGTATTTATTGATATTTTTGGGGGGATGTCATTCTTTCATGAACATTGCTTGATATTTTTGTAAATGCTTTTAAATATGCTTCAAAATTAAGACAATTAGCTTAACATTGAATAGACGCCTTATATATTGATAGATTTTATAAATTTGTTAATATATTATAAATACTGTTTTTTTTTATTTATTTATCTATGGACCTCCTATGTGAGCTGCTACTTCCATCCCAGCAGCATTTTCCCTATGTTTTATTGGGTCGCTGTTTGCACTACCCTGTTGGAGCTTGTGTTGGTATAGCTTAATTTTACGGCCGCATGCTCTTCCTGGCACCGACGCTTACCGTGATCTGGGCTTGGAACCGGCACTGAGTTGAGATTGATTTGTTCCCCCGGTGGATTCTTGAATGGGCCACCCATCAGAGTTTGGGTCTTACCTTGTAAAGATGCAGTTGAGATATAAATATTAAGTCTCAAAAACATAATATACATTTACGTATGGTGCAGTGAATATAAACTTTATATATATATATATATATATATATATATATATATATATATATATATATATATATATATATATATATATATATATATATATATATATATATATGTGTGTGTGTATATGTATATATATGTATATGTATGTGTATATATATGTATATGTGTATATATATATATATATATATATATATATATATATATATATATATATATATATATATATATATATATATATATATATATATATATATATATCTGTGCCCTGTGGGGCGGGCACAATATCAAAGAATAGCCTCACCGTATTCCCTGCGTGTCGTAAAAGGCGACTAAAAGTGGACGGGGCGGGGGGACTAGGAATCCCCCCCCCCTTGTACCAACCTCTTGTGAGACGTCAAAGAAGAAGGGGAGTAGAGGGGAGAATAACTTCTCCCCAAACTGTTTTCCTTTTTTGATGTCGGCTACCCCCCGATTTAAGGGGGAAACAGCCAAGGTATATGTATGTATGTATATCGTATTTGAGTGTTTTAGAACTCATTTTAACTGTAGTTTCTCGGCAAGTAAAGATATAATTATTTTAAGGTATATTCTTGAAACAAAATTTTAAGGGTTCACGTCTTTTGTTATGCAGCTTGTAGAATTTGTCCTTCTTAGTCAAAATGCAATATTAAAAACTCGAGTGGCTTGCTGCTGTGTTTCGTCAAGTATAGATATATTTGCTTTTGTAAGCAATTCTTTGAAAGCTGACTTAATACTATTATTGAGTTATTGTTATTTGAAAAGAAAACACGAAATAGTTGAGTGTGTTAGTGGGTTCTTTTATTTGCAGTTTTTTCGGTAATTAAAGATTTATTGCCTAGTAACTCAAAATAAGATTTGATATGCAATATTTACTGCAATTAATCCATGAGTAGGTATTTTTCATTTCGTAGCTTAAAATACATAAGTAAATACACATGGTTTCCCCCCAAAAAATGAGCACTGTTTATCAAGATATATTGAAGTTTTGTCACCCGAGTCAAAGAAGCCAAATGTAGAATATTTTGAGGTTTCGCAGAAGTGCGAACTGATGAATGTTCCGGTCCAGTCGCTACTAAAAACGTGCACAAATGGACTTGCAAACAGTACTGTTGTTATGGCCGCGGGGGCCGAGTGGTAAGTCTCGCAACTTTGATTCATCAGGTCATGGGTTCGAGGCCCACCGCGGTCTGATGTTAGAAAGGGCATTCACTTAGGGTAACGGTCTTTGCCAAAGCTAAAGTCCTTCACAAGAGGGCACCATCCTATCCCTTAACAGAAAAGGAAGCCCATGACGTAAAACCGATCACATTTAAGACAGTTGCTCGAACTGATGACTGATTTGTTCCAGGCTCTGCTTGTAACGCGGATAAATGGATTGATTTCTTTTTTTATGATTGTGACACCAGGACGGGCAAAAAATATAATAAAATAAAACAGCTCTCATCGGGCCTGGGCACGATGAATACATAAAATAAAGAGAAACAGAGGGGAATGCTGTGACTTGTCAGATGTGAAGGGATAATAAAGAGATGTGTAATGCATATCCAAGAATATTCAATGTTGATGTGGGCATAGAAAAAGAACCGTAACTGAAGGAAGACCGGAAACATCACAAATCATTTCAATAGGTACTTGGGTCAATGCTCTTTACATTATTCCTTTCAGCTTACTGATTGTTGCTGGATTTTTGCGGTAAACCTTATCTTTGACGCATATCCATTCAAAGATGTCCAGAGTTTTGAGGTCAATCTTATCTTTAATGCATATCCTTTTAAAGAAGTCCAGAGGTTTGATGTCAGCCTTATCTTTGACCCATATCCATTGTCCAGAGGTTTGAGGTCAACCTTATCTTTAACGCATATCCATTAAAGCTGTCCAGAGGCGTGAGGTCAACCTTTTCTTTGACACATCCATTTAAAGTTGTCCAGGGCGTGAGGTCAACCTTATCTTTGATGCATATCCATTTAAAAAAGTCCAGAGGTGTCAGGTCAACCTTATCTATGACACATATCCATTTAATGAATTCTAGAGTTGTGAGGTCAACCTTATCTTTGACGTATATCCATTTAAAGAAGTCCAGAGGTATGAGGTCTGGTGAACGTTGGGTACTACCATGCTACCTCTTTGCCTAGTCCATCTTTTCATCAGCTCTTCATCAATATAAACTCTCTCATTTCTGTTGTAATGGAGAGGTGATCTTTGTCGTTGGTTATGGTACTCCTCATCTTCAAATTGCTCTCAAATGCGTGGCATGACGGATTCCTGCAGCAAGTTTAGACAATCGGGATTTGTGACTGGGTTGTCTGGAAGGAATAGGCCAGTTTCACCCAACGCTGATATTCCAAACTATACTTTAACCTCTGAGGAGTTTAAGTGCTGTTCTACCTTAACATGCGATTCTGCGGTGCCCTTTAGGCGCAATTATTGCGATGAACTGAGCCATTTAATTTGGATGTGGCAATTTTGCCCCAAACATGTGCCAAACTTTTTATTTAGAATCGGTGGAGACTTTTCAATAGTTCTGAAGTTAATAGGTCTACTTCTTGTGATAGACTGGTAGATGACCTCGGTCTTCCAGAACGACCTTTATGGATGTCTTGAATAGTTTCATCTGCTTCAAAGTCATCTTTAATGCGAGCAATGATTAGTCGCATTGATGGATCCATTTGAAACACCTTTTTAAATTGTCTTGGCACTTCAGCTACATTCTTGCGCTTCCAGTGCCAGTTTAAGATAACTTTCCTTTTTGCAAAGCTTAGTCCTACTTCTGCTATTGCTCCAATTAAGTTTCAGCTTAAAAAAACAGTTTTTAGTGAGTTATGATAATTCAGAGCGTATCCATTTTTTTTAAAGACGCTAAATATTTTACGGGAATTGGTCATTATGTAGATATTTGTGATTTATTAAACGCGTTTCTTGTACTGCAATTGGTACGGATGTTGAAAACTAAATTTTATTTTTTGAATTCTTAATTTTAAATATGTAGAATACACATTAGCCGTAAAATGTAAAAGCATAAGTATATATGTAAGCCGAATGTTTAGCTACATATACAAGGTATATCGTCTTCTGGTCAAAGAACTTGTCTTCTTCCCATGTGTATATGGCGTTGCTGTTTTTCACTAGCTCTATATTTTGTTTTATCTACTACTCATTCCAGAAAATTATTTGGTTATGAATCAGCATTTTCTGGGCTGATGCTTTGCCTTATACCAAACCACTTCATCCTGTACTAAGTACTTCTCTATCGGCGGTTCTTCCCTCCTTATATGGAGTTGCTGTTTATCACTATCCTCGATTTATCAGAGTTTCGGTCAGACACTGAGTTAGCTGCTCCCCTATGTTTGGATTCCCTCAGTATCTAAAGATATATTGATGTAGGTCAAGGAAATAGATAATAGCAGATTAAGTATTGAGGTAAAATTCTGTTTGTTTTGACGTCAAAACTTTCAGATCTCTCTTCATGTCCGGCTCTGTGATGACTAAAAAGCTGGATAAACAAACAAATTAATAAATAAATATATACATGAGTAAACGAATAGATAGATAAAAAGAATACGAGTAAATAAATATGAACTTGAATAAATAAATAAATAAATAAATAAATAACTCTCTCTCTCCCTACCTCCTTCCCTCCCTCCTACCGGCTCTGCCTGAGTTAACGAAGGACATTAGGGCAACACGCAATTGCAAACAACTCCCTTTAAGATGTTTTAACACGAAAGGAAGAAAGATAAGTGCAGGCAAGTCAGCTCTCTCTCTCTCTCTCTCTCTCTCTCTCTCTCTCTCTCTCTCTCTCTCTCTCTCTCTCTCTCTCATAGCCGGCAGCTCGGCTCCGTCATATGTAGCACATCCTTTCTTTCGCTCCCCCATCCCTTTGAGTCGGCTCTTACAACTCTCAAGGAGTATTACTAAGATGATGAATTCTCTCTCCCCCCACTGCTAAGGATTTTATTTATACGCTCCCTACGACACACAGGGGAGAATATATATATATATATATATATATATATATATATATATATATATATATATATATATATATATATATATATATATATATATATATATATATATATATATATATATATATATATATATATCCTGAATTTATAAAAACATCTTACTTACCTATCTCTCCCCTGCCTCTCTATATATATGTCTACCAGTCAGTAAGCCTGTTTTGATATGCTTTAGTAAGTTACTAAAATTCTTCCTGGGAGACCCACTCGTGGTAAGCGTTGCTGTTTATTAACTGTGTCCCTAGCTCTGGTA